TGTCTATAATCACCACTATCAATACCAGCACAAACCCTGAGCTCTGTGTGCACTTGGCTTGCCGTATACGGTGGCTTTGTGAATTGCATCGGCCCAGAAGGGAATGGATTGGTTCTGCCTGAACCATCTGGTGAATTCCCCTGCTGTGGCTCTGTCCAAAACCCTACAGCACCAGTGAGGAACGAGCGACACTCTTACTGCTCGTAATTGTCATACAGTGTGTTCAAAACACCCTGAGTCTATGCCTACAACCACTGAAGGAATGAGTAAGAGGGGGCTGGTGTTGCTTTGGCAGAGAGATTTATATTTTATTGTGTAATAATATGAGACATGCTTCGATATCAGGGTTGTGCGCCATTCAGAATTGAATTAGAAATGCCTTTTAAATTGAACTGAAGCAGAATTAAAATGAATTCAAATGCAAAAAAGGATCAAAAAACCTTTTTGATTATAGATAGATAGATAGATAAACACCCTATCTGAAAGCGATAGATAGATAGATAGATAGATAGATAGATAGATAGATAGACAGATAAACACCCTATCTGAAAGCGATAGATAGACACCCTATCTGAAAGCAAGATAGATAGATAGATAGATAGACACCCTATCTGAAAGCAATAGATAGATAGATAGATAAACACCCTATCTGAAAGCAATAGATAGATAGATAGAGAGATAGACACCCTATCTGAAAGTGATAGATAGATAGATAGAGAGATAGACACCCTATCTGAAAGTGATAGATAGATAGATAGAGAGATAGACACCCTATCTGAAAGTGATAGATAGATAGATAGAGAGATAGACACCCTATCTGAAAGTGATAGATAGATAGATAGAGAGATAGACACCCTATCTGAAAGTGATAGATAGATAGATAGAGAGATAGACACCCTATCTGAAAGTGATAGATAGATAGATAGAGAGATAGACACCCTATCTGAAAGTGATAGATAGATAGATAGAGAGATAGACACCCTATCTGAAAGTGATAGATAGATAGATAGAGAGATAGACACCCTATCTGAAAGTGATAGATAGATAGATAGAGAGATAGACACCCTATCTGAAAGTGATAGATAGATAGATAGAGAGATAGACACCCTATCTGAAAGTGATAGATAGATAGATAGAGAGATAGACACCCTATCTGAAAGTGATAGATAGATAGATAGAGAGATAGACACCCTATCTGAAAGTGATAGATAGATAGATAGAGAGATAGACACCCTATCTGAAAGTGATAGATAGATAGATAGAGAGATAGACACCCTATCTGAAAGCAAGATAGATAGATAGAGAGACACCCGATCTGAAAGCAATAGATAGATAGATAGATAGAGATAGATAGATAAACACCCTATCTGAAAGCAAGATAGATAGATAGATAGATAGATAGATAGATAGATAGATAGATAGATAAACACC